TATTTAATCTACAGTAAATCTCCCGCCTCAAAAACTAAAGCTGAACCAAAGTTCGCCAGGAGGGTCTGAGTCTGTGTGGAAGCAGAGCTGGCGCTCCTCTGAGCTCCGGGCTGTGTCCCCGCAGTTGTTTACCAGCAGCGGGGACACCTCGGAGGGATTTACCCACCTCCCAGTCACGTCCAGGCGGTCGCCGGTCTCTCCGACATGTCGCAGTCCGTGGCCCGCGGCTCCCTGCAGCTGTGTGGGCTGAGCCGCGGCTCTGCTCCGCGGACGTTTTACTACAGCATTCAAGTAAAGTTGCTAAAAATAAAAGTGGCCTAAAACTAGTTTCAGTCTGTCTGAAGGAAGGCAGGACTTCCCTCTTCCTCCTCCTCCTCCTCCCCCTTCCTCTTCCCACTTTAACGCACCGGAGTCCGCTACCGGGACTCAAGGACGGACTGGGAGACTACGGGCCGCTGGGCACAGACGTGTGACGGCCCCCACCCCTACAGTGGAGCCCCAAAGACCCAAAACGACTACAAACAGTGTGGAGTCCATTTTTCTCTGTTTGTAGTCATTTTGTGTCTCTGTGGTGTTTTTGTCGCTGTGGGTGGTCGTCATGTATCTGTCTGTAGTTGATTTGGGTTTTTGTGACCATTTAGCATGTTTTTGTTTTTATTTATTTATTGTTTTTTTGTAGTCATTTTGAGTGTTTTAGTTGTATGTTTGTGATTGTGTGCTGTAATCCCTCTCTTTGTGTAACCCCCATTTACATTCCACCATGGTCACAGTTAGTTCGCTGAGGACAGTGTTAAAGACAAAATACGGTTCTAAGTACGAGGTCTGTCTGACTCGGCCCAGGTGTCCAGGCCGGGCTCGGTCCGAGACGGTGAAGGGTTAACTGAACGCCCTCCTGGTATCCTGTTTCACCAGTTTCTGGACATGACGACTTCGAGCAGATGGAGAATTTGGGGGATTCACATCTGCAAAGGAAACACACACAGTGTTCCAACAGTATCCCTGTAAAACTCGTACAGCAGTCCCCGTTTCACTGTTTTCAGTATTCCTGTTGTGTGGCTTCATGCACAGTACTTTTCACTCTCTCTGCTTAGGCATCACTATATCACTGCAGTGCAGCTATTTATGTTCATGCTATTGTTGTTTATTGTTTATTGTTTATTTCTTGTAATATCTTCAGCAGCACTTTCCTGTCATGTGTGTTTTCCTTATGTTCAAGTGTTTACTAGAGATGAAAAATCAACTGATTAGTCGACCAAGAGGAAATTAACCACCAACCACTGTGATCATTGATTAAACATTAAAATCATTTTTCAGCAAAAACTACTAATGATGGTACAACACAGTATTTTTCACAAATTTTAGTGTTTTCCTTGCTGAAGTCAGTGGCATGAGCCACAGGCTTCAGTTGACAGAAGGCCTAGTTCTAGTTCACCCTCCTTCCCTGAGTCCAACAATAAGGTCAGCAGCATGACAGCATCACTGTGTGAGATTAAAATGACATTTGGTTAACGAGCCAGGTTCAGGTTGGGGCATTGCACAAAAAGGAATTTTCACATTTGTCTTCAGCAGCTGGAAGTTCATAGTGCCATTATTTTGCAGGTTGTTTTCAGGTTTAAATACCTTTGTGGTTTCAGTATAGGATGTGATTTGATTTGATTTGATTTGATTTATTCTTTCAAGCATGTAAAAACTGTTGATATGACAACACACATAATTTTACACATAATCCAATATCAATGTGCTTATACCTAGTACATGCTTGAATGGAGTAGGAAGAAGTCAGACTTATCCAGTCCTACCCCATGACATCATCTTACCATCATTGGTTTGCAAGCAGTAAATGATTCACTTCTACCCACACAAGTATTATACTAAAAAAAGAATATAACAGTGTTAACATTCTTACATCACACAAGTAATATACTAAAGAAT